TTTAGGAACTAGAGAAACGTTGTATTTCTCATCGTTGTTACATCGCACCCTGACTGGCAAGGCCCAAGTCCATCTGCTTCTTTGTTGTATCTACATATCTATATATAGACAAACACATCGATCTTTATATATTTACATATATAATCTATAGTTATACGTATACATTTAATTTTTACTTTCTTCTTCTTTCCTCTTTTTCAAAGAATCCATCAATATTGCAACTCAACGCTTGAACTGTTTCTTCTTTTGGCTTGACATATGCAGTGTGCTCTTCCTTTTCAGTTTCCTGACTCCAGGTCTTTGTACATTTCATTATAACATTTACTTTGTCTTCTTGAGCTTCCCTCTGAAATTTTCGGTTCAACTTGTTTATCTCATTATTTCTTCCATTTGCTTTAGATGCTCTCTATGATCAAGTTTCAGTTTCTTCTGACATCTACTGTGTGTTTTTAAAACGTTTTATTGGCATATAATTCATGTACCATACAATTAAATGGTGTGAATATATTAAAGAGAGTTGTGCAATCAACACAATCCATTTTAGAATATACTCTTCATTTTTGTACTTAATACTATTAGCCTTCCATTTCCTCCAACATCCTCTGCCATAACCCTAGAGAGCTGTTGACTTAGTTACTCTCTCTACAGATTTACCTATGCGGACATCTACTTTGAGCTTTTCATTTGTTCTTGCCTTCTAAATGACCTTTTGGCTTCATGTATCATTTTTTTTCCCTTCACCAGTTTTATTGGCACATAATTCACATATCACATAACTCAATAGTTCAATCACATCAAGATTTGTACAATAACCACCACAATCAGTTTTAGAACATTTTCTTCATTCTTGTCCTCATCATCAGATGTGTGACGCTCTTGATGTCATCCCACAGTTTAGGTCTTTTGTGATTTGTGTTCAGTGATTGAAATCTATTCTTGAGATGGTCTAAAAATTCTGATGTAATATATTCAAGGTCATATTTTGGCTCTCACGGCTCTGTTTTATTTTCTTTAACTTCACCCTGAACTTACATATGAACAACTGGTGGTCTGTTGCACAGTTAGCCCCTGGTCTCTTTTGGGCTGCTGATTTTGAATTCCATTTCCTCTTTCCACAAATGTAGTCAATTTGGTTCTTGTGTATTCCATCTGGTGAAGTCCACATGTATAGTCATCATATATGTTACTGACAAAAGATATTTGTAAGGAAGTCACTGATCTTTCCTAATTCTAATATGAGATCACCAGCTTCTATCACCACGTCTATATTTTTGAACTACTGTTCCCTCTTCTTTGTCTCCAACTTTTGCATTCCGCATCAACTAACAATGCATCTTGATTGCATGTTTTATCAATTTCAGACTGAAGTTGGTAAAATTCTTTAACTTTCTTCATCACTAGCTTTAGCGGTTAGGGCATAAATGTGAGTAAGAGTTGTACTGATTGCCTTTCCTTGTGGATGTATAGATAGTATCCCATCACAGACAGCATGGTGTTTCAAGATAAGTCTTAAAATGCTTTTTGAATTCATCATCCTCAGCAAACTAAATAATATAATTATCTGGTTCAAAATAGGCAATACGAATCTGATTCAGTTCACTAATGCCTACTATGTTGATCAAGACATGTCAGAATCAAATTAAGGGCAGTGGAAAGATAGTGCATACACCTCTTTTGCATTCTTTGAACATGTATTAAAAGGTTGCAATACAGAGAGCTGATAACAGGGTTAATGGTCCATGGTTGAACTAAATGAATGAATAGACCGTGATTTCTACCATTTCCATATTTTTATCTTATCCTTCCCTCACCCACCCCAACTCACCTTCTGGTCTTTTGGAGTTCTGCTCCCAGCATCACCTATAGAGAAGAAGAACTCTAATGAATATAAGAATCTTACATACACAAATTTTAGAGAAATCAAGAACAGAGCTTAAGGTATTATCAATGAAGTATTATCAACTGAAAATGCACAACAGGGATTTGAATAAAAGTAGTCCTGAAAGAACACATAGCAATGGATAATAGTGCTAACTTCTGGATAAAGTTCTGGGGAAAATAGTGATCTATAGAATTTGGGGGTTTCATTGTACTTTAAAAAAAATTACACAGGCATTTAATTAGCTTTATTTATAGAGCAGGTTTCTTTTTTGTTTTTTAGTCTCCAGTGGTGCCTAGATAATGAGGCAAGAATGCCGGTTTTAAAGAAACCTATGGAGAATTCTAAAAATAACGTGTTGATGCTCCTCAAGAAGGGGCAAGTGTGACTATCTCAGCAGCTTTCAGTTACTCAGAAGCAATTCTATTGCAGTCTCTACACTCAGGATTCTAAAGACAAGGCCACTATTACTGCATTCCTATCAAAGCCCATAGATTTTCTCTCTCTCTCTCTTTTTAAATCATTTTTTATATCATTTTATTAGGGACTCATACAACTCTTCTCACAATCCATACATACATCAACTGTGTAAAGCACATTTGTACATTCACTGCCCACATCATTTTCAAAACATTTGCTCTCCACCTAAGCCCCTTGCATCCGCTCATTTTCTCTCTTAAATAGCCCGTGATAGAATATTAGGATGCCATGTTTTAGTGTAAACCAGACC